TCTTCCCCCCCCCCCCCCCAATGGGTTTTGCACAAACTTGGTGCACCCCTGAGGCATGTCAGAAAGTTTCGTACATATGCTGGTTCTTCAAGGCAAGAGAGAATCTTAGCATCAAATTGAATCTTGACTATGTTGAAGCTTTGGTGTGATTCAGCTCTTGGAACTGTTTTGGAAAAATAATACATTGTGTTTACATTTTAAAAAGAGCTATGTTTAGTTTTTGTTTCTCTGTAAAATGGCAAAGAGCACATAAAAATGGATGAGTGATTGACAGATCTACTTTCTTATCACAAGACAATATATTAGAATATTTTCATTAGACTGCTGTATGAAGAATATTGAATCTTTCATTTCCTTGTAGCCAATCTTATTTTTTTTAAACAAAAATGTGTCACAGGTCCATAACTTAATTAAAACAAAGAATATGAAGTAGCCTACTTTTCAAAGCCCCAAAGTTATTTCTCTATAATTTATCTCCTCAGAAAGATCTGTTGTGCCTGCATATTTCATCCCAGGTTTTTAACAAAACAAAGTTAATTTCAGTAAAACCTGGGAGCTGTGTTTCCAAACCTCACTATAGACTTAGTTTTTACTATTGCAACTACAATCTTTCATAAAAATTAATTATAAGACAAATCTCATTATAGGCTCAAAGATCCCAAAGAAATCGATCAGCTTTCAGAATTGGAATCGAAATGAAATCTAGCAGTTCTCATCAAATTTCCTTTTTGTGCGGGTATAGCATTCCACAGTGAATTTCCAATTACTTCTGCATTTACAAGCTTTTGGGAAAAAGAATATTCCTCAGCTAGAGACACTATACTCCTATTATAACAAAAAAGGTATTTCATATATTTTATTATTTTAATATGAATATTGTTGTTGTTTTTTTATAAAGGTGCCAGGATTGGTCACCGTTCCTTGATGAGATATTACAAGCAGCGATTTGGTGCTTCGCGAGCAGTCGTGCTTTCCAGAAACAAACAGACAGTGGGCAGAGTGTTGCAGCAGTATAAAGCCCTTGGTTGGACAAGCAACTCAGGTGAGCAGATAAAAGCGTGACCCAACAATTGCGCGCCCGACAACAGCACGCCGACAAAATTGCGGCGATAAAACCGCGACGTCGACAGCGCGCCAACCAAAAAGCGCCGACAGAAGCGCGATTACGGTTAAGGTAAAGATTAGGGTTAGGTTTAGGGTTACCTTTAGGGTTAGATTTAGAGCGCGCTTCTGTCGACACGCTGTTGTCGACGCGCTTCTGCGCTCATTCGTTGGCGCGCTTTCGAACTTGCGGTTTTCTCCCTGCGGTTTCGTCGGCGCGCTTTTGTCGAGCGCGCATTTGTCGGTGAACCGATAAAAGCAGTATGTTTACCTCACTGTCTTTCTAGCTTGCTTTTTCATTATTCTTAACAGCAAGTAAAAATACGTAAATAATAAAAAGCATATCCCGGAGAAGTAATTTGTGGAACCATAAGGTTCCTGTAAGTAACTAAATCTAAACCCTGATGTTGACAGAACGCTTCTCTCACACTTCAAACGGGATGTCATGTTTTCAAGAACAGATATGCCAGTTCTTCTGTCCCCCTTCTTCCCTATTTGTATATACAGAGTGAAAATTCTGCATCATGAAAGCAAAACTATTTCCTAAGAGGGCTTTCCCTTATTTATGTTTGCACCTTTCCCTTTACTTACTCTGGGTGCTGGTAGAATCCTCTCCCCCTCATGGTTATTCTGCCAAAAAGGTTACCGAATTCTACTGATAGCTCAGTTCTCAGAAATACAGTACAATCAATATTGCTGGAAACAGAATATTGAACTAGATAGTCACTGATTTCTATGTTGATTAGTTCACAGGGCCAGAACAACCAATTTCGTTGTTTTTAAGAACAATGACAATAAAAATTATGCTTAATAGGCAAACTCCAAATAGGATCATTTCAAAATGTTTGTGAACATTTAAAGTGCAAAAGTAGTTGCATTTCAAAAGTGACAGACTTTATGGAGAACACAGTATACCTTTGCAGAGTTCGTAGCAGGTTTCAGCAGCTTTGTTCATCTTGGAAATAATTATGCTTTTTGGTGAAATTCAGATGTTGGCTCTTTCTCCCTTAGGAGGAGCAGCTCTGGCTCGTGAGCGTGACATACAGTACCTTCAAAGGATGAAAGCAAAGTGGATGCTGAAAACGAGCATGCAAAATAACATCACAAAGCAGATGCATTTCCGGTCACAAGTCCAGTTCTAAGAGCATAATAAAAAGTATTCAGTATTGGAGTATTGATGCAGCAAACGTATGGCTGATGCCTTACCAGTGCTTGCATCTAGGCTGCTATTTCAAATATTTCAGTTGGATGTGGTCAATCGGACCTGCTCAATAAAGCATGTGCATAAAATGTATTGTAATTTGGTGATAGTATTGCATCCCAATCATGTGTATTATGTAGCTGGGTTTAAGGTGTACCTCTTCTCTGGAGCTTTCAGATAATATGCATCATTCTGGCATGACACCTGTAACCATTTCACACATTCTGGTTTAGTGAACAATTTCACATATTGGTTGGTGTTCTGACCCCCACCTTGTCCGTTCAGAAACGAAAGCAAACAGAACGTTCAAAGGAATGTTTTTATCAGTCCC